ATCTATCTATCTATCTATAATGATGACACTGACAGGAGTCGTTTATTTTTCTGCACAAGTACTGTCACTTTTGATGCTTTTGGTACATTTTGATATTACGTAATGTTACAATTGTAATTGTATGTTTGAATAGTGAATGTGGCAATTTTTCTCACAATTCTAAGGTCCTCCAGAGCCACAGAAGACATTTTTCCTCATGACTATTAGTGCCCCTTTAACAACATGCAGATCATTCAGCAAAAAAAACTTAGTTCATTGTTCTGTCTGACCAGCAACTTTTTCTGCAGCTCGTTCGTCCCGCAGGTTTGTATTTCACAAGTTGCTCAGATGTTGCTGTGTCTGGCAAAAATCACTACAACAGGCAAGTAGATATCCTGATGCTAAAAATACATGTGACTGACTCTATTTCTGAGGCCTGACTGTAATATCTTATTACATGGCACATCGATTGTGGCTGAGGATGATGTGCCCGCTAAGGTATTCTCAGTCTCAATAAAGCGCCCTGATGCTATTTTGGAAGGATTATTTGAGAATATGTGTTAAATATACTTCACACACACCCACTTTCATTCTTTATTCATCAACCTGCAAACTGAATTTTTACAGCCATTACAGGGAAATGAAACCAGATGCTGTAATAGAACACAGTGACAAGGAGGATGGACAGAGACAAGGTCAAGTGTTACTGATAGCCTAAAAAAAAAGAAAAAAAATATGATGTCTCCTTGGATGTAAGATATGTTTCTGCTGCAGTCAGCCATTATTTAATTTCCACATTAGGTCATTTCAATGTGTATCCAAGATGTTGTACAGCTATATGTGGGTTATTTTTACACTTTTTCAAAATTGTATCTTTGTGTCTGGTGAAAGGCAAACCAGAGTTCACTTTGCATGTGATACAAAAGACAGTAGATGCTGCCACCTACAGGGAGACTTAAACAAGCTTTGTGTCAGTGACAGAAAAACAGCATAAGAAAATTGATGAATAAAAATAACATTTTAATATGTCTGTTAAAGAAAATTTATGTCAAAACATCAGCCCAGAAAACAAGTCAGATATAGAAATGAAGATAGATTTTACTTTAAATGTGTTTGAACTGCAATTGAATAAACTGTGTGTCTGTCTTATGTACATGTACATTTGTATGTGGTTTCCTTGTGTATCATTTGGGCCTAGATTTTAAAAACTCAATCTCTCATTGTTGTTTTTCATTAACTTCCAACGTCAGACAGATCACATTGCTATTAAACCTATTAAATTAAATTAAATTAAATTAAATTAAATTTAATAGGTAACTTATTTTCAGTTAAGGATTTAGTTTTTTACCAGGTAAATCTAATTCAAATACCACAAATATGAGAATACACAATCTAGGTTTTTAGTCAGCAGAGTTCTCAAACCTGCCATCTGCTGGACAAATATTGTAGCTACATGTTGAAGCCACATAACTGAAGGAATGTAGGGGTTTTTTATACATTCAAATTATATATGACTCAAAATTGTAATTGGATGGTAAAAATGTCAGTTAAATGTGTCTTAGATATTGTGCTTTCATTAATTCAACTATAAAATTAAAATTAAAAAAATAAATTCTATGTTGCATCCCCACCAATTATAAATGCTCTCTGAACTTTTTTTAATATTATCTTGATTTTTGGTGTCTAAACCTTTCTTTTGGGAGATACATTTAACCTTGATTTAAAGGTGCAATCTCCTTATGAATTCCAAATTCCAGCGTGAATAAGAAACAATAAGAAACAGTGAGGAGTTTCTTCCTTTATAATACAGTATCTTGTTTAAGAGGTTCTTTGCATGATTGCTTAATGGCAGGAAGGTCAGAAGTACATGAGAGTCCACTTATCTACGTTATTGCAATACTGGATGATTATTGATTATTGGCACATAAAATAATTATTTTCTCATTCCCATTCAGAAAGCCAAGAAACACACATATAGCAAATGGATGCAGTAGCCACCCTCCACATCAATCTACATTACAGCCACACCTTTATTATATATTAGTTTAATGACAGAATTAACTATAAATACTCTACCATGCTGAAAAAGTGTTCACTGAATGAGTGTTCACTCATTCAGTGAACACAGTTGGTAAATAATTGACTGTGATCACAGTCCATGTTCCTTCTCTTGTCCCTCAGCCCTCTAGGCAACAGCCTGGCTACTTATTACATTGAACCCGGTATTGCTACTCTGATTAGTGAGAGTGAGTTTAAACATTTGCTTGAAGGAATATACTGTAGACACCAGGTGCAAAGTTCAATGACTTCAACAAAAAAGCTGAACAATGCTTTTTTGGTAAGAGTAGAAGCAAGAGTTAGAATATCCTAAATCATCAAATGCAGAACTGTATTTCTGTGTATGTAAATGTCAGTTAATGCATCTGAAAGGACCTCTTTAAATTGAAGAAAAAAAACACTGCAAAACAAAGTTATTTTGAAATGTATTTTATTGAGCAAACATGAAAAGATTTTGAATGCATTACAAAAATATTCAAACCACCCATAAATTACATTTGTAATGCGCTTTCACATCAACAAACAATCATAACTGAGGAACCTTTCTTCATGTGTGCGCTTTGTTGTATGGGAACAAAATAAGTTAATACCTCTGAACTAGTAAAATCCATGTACATCGAAATAAGGACCAGCATTAGACAAGGCTGCCATAACTCAGCTTAGTGCGACACCGGGGCCTCTATCAGGCATTTACATACTAGACTGTTTTTTTTTTTAAAGTGCAGCTTCAGAAGTGAGCTGTTAATAACAGTGCAGATTACCTCTTGCATAGTAGACACACTCGACCAGGAAATGTGACACTTCAGTCAAGATGCAGTTTAGTGCATAAAACCAAAGAGACAGAGTTCGATTGAACTACTGAATTCACTGGTTACTCGAAATATAAATAGTTGGGAACACAGGTTTTTGTTAAATCTGGAGAGCATGCTAAAAATGATAAATCAGTCTGCTGTGGGTGATTATCTCTCTCTTGAGCTCTAAAAAGAACTTTCATGCCCTCCATCATGGCCAAACAGAGCAGTTTAAGCGAACGTAGCACTAATCCAATTCCACCTCCAGTTGGCATTGTTGGACTAGAAGGGATCTGTGGCCACTAGGACTGGGAATCCACCAGCCATAGGCCGGCTGAAAGGGGGATCAATCGAGATCAGTAAGGAGACCGAGGCTGTGAATCTGCCGACAGCTGAGTTGTGCGATACTAGTCTACAAACAGCAACAGACTGCACTGTTATACGGACTTACAAGATACATAGAATAGCACCTTAAAAGAGCTTGCTGCTAGTTGATGTAGCACCTTATTGCCTCAGCAACACTTGTCTTCCTTGAACAACAAATGAGGTACAATTAAACATCCAATCTTTTAATCTTAATTAACATACTGCTTTTAATAATATCACAGAATAGCACATAGTAGTCAAATATTAAACAAACTAATTATATTGGTTCATAATATCCCTTTTATTTTTCCCTAAATTGCTCAAAATCTGATTCCTCCCTCTGCCATTGAAGCTTACGAGCAGTAAAGGGAAACATACATCTCAATGGGCTGGCAGTGATGAGAATTACTCCTTGAACTTTTTCCTTCTATAGAAAGTAAATCAGAAATCCTCAGGACAAGCTACCATGAGGCAAAAAAAGGACACTCAAATTAATGCATTCACTGTTGTCTAAAAGAGCTTTTGTTATCTACGACTTCACATCTCTTGAGGTCACATTAATTGGAAGAACGCACTTTCCTGCCCTTGAGAGGCTGGGGAGGCCTGAAGTTGTTTTCCATGCGCATCCTCTGATCGTCTTCCTCTCCACTGAACTGAAGCATTCTAAACTTTCCCAGCTGCATTTGAGGAGAGACAGAAAGACACAGTTTCCCCTTTAATGTTTTTGCAAAGAAAAACGGTTTTACTCAAACAGGTTCTGTAGTGTACAGGAATAAATAGTGTGTTTGTTGGGGAGTCATTTCAGTGGCAGTTTTGGTGTGATAGTGAGTATTCATGGCAGCAGGAGGTGCACGTACATCGACTCAGAACAAATTAAAGTGCCCATATTATTTGTTATGAAGAAATACATCTTCCAGTACAACTGTGTGACTCACTTATTCAGTGTATGTTATTTTAATGACAAACATTGACTATTACCAGACTTACAAAACCCACCCTCTTTTTTGTCTTTCCTCTTTAGCTCTATGTCTAGCATTAAAAGGGGAAATGAAAAACAAAATAATACTCTGTTATATAAAGGCTTTCCCCTGCTGAGTCTCCATGCAAGCATTTCTCAATTAAAGCCCTGAACCCATCCAGTCATCCATCCATCAGGATAATCAGCTGAAGGGGATCAAAGGCTTGTGGCCTGGAGTCATAGGTTGTGGGGCCAGTCGCCTAGCTTACACCTCACCCCCAGCTATGTTACACACATGGGTTTACAGGCAGCTTGTTTATGAATACACTCCATGTGCCACCATCACTAAAAATCCAGATTCCTCATGTACAGTCTTGGTGTTAAAAATTAGACTAGAAAGGATCAACCAAAGTGTATAATCCAGCCGACACAGGGCCAACTCACAGGGGGGACCTGGTAGGCATGTGCTGCAGACATCCAGTTAGTCAGCTTAACTTGTCAACAACCTGGGGTTATCAGACCTCAACTTTCTGATTACATTCAGTCCTAAGAAGAGGGGTGGATAAAAACAAGCTAACCCAACACACAGCATCCCCCAAGAATGATGCTCGCCCATGTTTTGTTTTCTGAATTTAGCATCTTACCTAGGCCAAACAGTATATTTCTGGACATGCTACAGCACAGAGGTAAACCCCACCACCACCCCCACAACTATTCAAACTTGGCATAGTGATCCAGGGATGCTCAACTTTGGTTTGACAACAAAAGAGGCAGGGGATCCTTGGAGCATAGCCTAATGATTTGCAGGCAAGGAAACATGGATGGTAAAAACTGCACATTGAGAAAAGATCACTACACTACAACAAATGTGTGAAATCAATCATTAGTACTAGAGTTGAACATGAACATGCTGTCAGGAATCAAGAAAATATAAAAAAATATAATGTCAGTTTTTTATTTTTTAAATCATATCATATTTTATTTTAGACATGAATACCCATTTGAGTGATGATTTCGCGCTTTAAAAAGAGCCACAATTAATTCATTATGAATTCAAGGTGCATATTTCTGGTACTGTAATTGGCTCTTTTTAAGCAGTGATGGGAAAATATAGGTGATATAGGTGTTGCCCACTACTAGCTTACAGCCACAATAGTAGAATTAGGGTTAATGCTTTGTTTGTAGGAATTAATGAGTACTACAGATAAAACGTTTTGGTGGTGTAAAGTATATTCTGGTTTACTGCAAATGTTCCACAAATAATAATAAGAAAGAAAACTGTTAAATTAATAAATTAATAAATATAGTGGTATACATGTTGGAAATCTGGCAAATTATAGTAGTCAAAAGGAACATGTTTGCATCACATACACACCTGTTTTTCAGACACTATGATTGGCTCCTTAAGGACGATCCAGATGACACTCTCATGTAGGGGGGGTGTGGTCAGTGATCCCGGGTATGTCCAGTAGTGGAGGCTGCTGGGTAGGAGGCACTTGGGGTTGAAACCTTTGAAATCTGTGACACTAGCCTGACACAGAGATACAAAGACAACTGTTTTTTCTATTACTGCAGTAATGCCAATAACATAATAAACTACATCCAGTAGCAATCACAGTACTCACCTTAAACTTCACCATGAACAGAGCGTCTGTTATCATGTGGAGCCATCTGTGGTCGTCACCTGTCTTCCGCAACAGAAAAGTTTGTTTTGGAAATTAGATTTTTGACTTTTGAAGGGAATGCATACCAAATAATTACTTAATTCACAAATGTAATATCAATGGCACAAAAAATGTAGAAGACAACATAAAATGAGTGTAGAAACAACACTCACAGAAAATGGTATTGTGCTGAAGAGAAATATCTTACTTCCAAAAAGATTCCAAGGACAGCGAGGCCGTCTGGAGCTGCTGCAGCCTCCCCAAACGTCTTGTACTTGACAGCATTCCAGTGCACTAGATGAAGCTGAAGGAGGACATAGGAGGAAAAAGAAAGATAGAAAGAAACAGAATAGGGGTTTGATTTTATTTTATAGCAAAATACGTTACCCCATGCAGTATACCTGGCAAAAATAGAATAAACCAAAAATGGTTTATCCTATGTTTTGGTGTTTAGACACTGACGCACTGAAAGTATACAGATCCACACTGACCTCAGATGCATAGCTAATTCCTTCAACAGTGTGCTCAGAGCCATGGCAGCCCTTTCCGCCCCAGTGGAAGTGAAACTGTTTCAGTCTGTAGGGGTTGTCAAGAGGTCCTCCCTGGATCACTGTAGAAGATGAGAGATGTTAAAAGACATTCACACACCCACACCCCTACTCTCTGTGGGTGTCAAAACTGCTTTCTAGCCCAACACTGCATAGTCATAGTGAACCTGGTAACACCCAGCGGATAGACAGTCTGCTTTATCAAGGAATATATAATTAGAGCTCTATGGCACAAGCTTTAGTTTGAGACACAAATAGTCAAGTCCATGATAAATAAAGGGACGTTAAAGCTACAATTAGGTTGGCTTAGCTTTCAATTCAGGTCCATTGGCCAACAAGCATCAATACGTTGAATAATGACACTCAGTCCATTATCAGGATAGTACAGCCTGTTTTCAGAGCCTACAGCTTGCACCGCTGGGTATCTAATCTGATTGTTATTCATTGTGATGCTGCTGACATCCTTCTGACAAAACGGGCCACTCCAGTCCAGGTCAGATTAGCTATGCATGAATGGAAAAAAATAGCAAAACACTTATCTTGCCATCTTGCAATATAGATGAAAGGGGAATAATGTGATAGTAGCAGGTATGAAGAATTATTAATAACTGATGCTGAATCAGGTCCTTATGGTGAAAATGATAAATAAATCATGTAAATGTTTTTATTTTAACATTTAGTGCCAGATCTTTAATACATGATCAGTTTGAATTACTTGAATAGCGTAAATCTGTCCTTATATAAACTTTGATTTATGTTATTCCATCCTCCTTTTTCTTACCATACAAACAGTGACGCTTTAAGCTGTCAGGTGTGAATGTATGGATGTGGTGCACAAAGACCAAGCCACACATGGCAAACTGACAAGAGCAGGTTTAGGGGATTTGTGCACCTCATTTGAACTATGGAGAAATGCTGAGGAAGAGCATTTGTTTTCCTACAGGTCTTTTCTTTCATTAATTATTTTCAGTGATGGCTACTTGCTTGCTCTGTGGAAACTGTCTGAGCCAAACATCATTCACGGTAATGATGGGGTGGTTAACATGGATCCACCCAGTGATAAAAGCAAATAGGGTCATAATAACCACTGAGATCCACTGAGGTTATTATATCTCTTGTCCAGCAGACGGATACTCATACAGTTAACTGCTGGCTGCATTTCCTTGCAGCATAATCAGGGGTTTATTTGTAACCTTTGATTATGGTCAGTTATGCACACGGTTTGCACTTTCTAAAAATCAAGGTAATCCCACCTTTCAAGCATATGATTGCTGAAAAGTCAACTTTTAGCACAAATTTCCACTGCATGTGGCTGACAAACATATCAGTGCCAAGATTATCACTGAACTGTGATCCCTGTCAATAACTGCAAGGCAGTTATCTTTTAATACAACCATAGGTCATAGTGATCATAGCTCCTGCTAAGACATTACTATCTATCCATATTTCTGTTTATTTTATTTTCACTACATATAGAAGTGTGACCTCTGTAAGTTGTGCATATATATATATATATATATATATATAGGTTGGTTGGTTTGGTTGTTTGTGTGATTTTTGCTTTCTTTAAAAATAAAATCATCAACTTGAACTCAATAAACTACAGTTGAAATTACAGGTAAATGCAATAAAGTTTTTTTCTCACCTGAACGGTCATCAGAGTCATCAAAGTCCACAACAACAGAGTGTCCATTGTTGGCGATGTTGATGGAGGTGCACTGATCATAGTTTAGGACAATCGGGCCCAGACTGGGGTCATGGGAAGCCTGTTGAGGGACGATGTCAATGGGAGACTGGCGGTTCCCCTCGGCAACAGGGAAGTTTTTGTGCCATGCAGAGGGACCTTATCATGTAAGAAGAACATTAAATGAACAGATCATTTTAAGGCTTCTGCATTTATGCCTTCAGCTCTATTGTGTGTGATGATCAAATGTGCCTTAAATTAAAACAGAATAATGAATTAAGTCACCTGCAAAGACAAATACTAAATACTTTAAAAAGCACAGTAATAAAACAAAGTTATGGTTTTTAATTTAACTCAACTAATTTAGTTAAAGCTACTGCAAACCACTAACAGACCAAGGTCAGTCAAGGAATACATGGGACCATCAACATGAAATTAGGACCCAAAGAACCCCCAAAAAAAAAAAAGAAATTTGTGAAATTCACCCAAGACTGTCTCAATGTAGCACATTAAATAAAGCAACTTATATTGACCACAACCCTGATGCAATGCAATATTTCTGATTCGAGAGCCCAGGACAGATCAAGTGGAGTTAAGGTGAAGGTGACAGCAGACATCCCTTTAAGCATGTGGCTAATCTCGCATTAACAGCGTTACTCATCTGCGTTACTTCTCCTGGATAACGCGCAGCGCCACCAGCAAAATCGGAATAACACTAAACTAAAATGTAGTGAAGCATGGAGAGTTTGGCTAATTGCCTCCACTGTGGATTGTGAAGCAATAAAGAGCTTTGCTGTAATATCTTACCGTCCTCTTTTCCATATCCCCAGTGATTCCCTGTCATTGTCCCTGTTTCAAGTCTGACCAAGTTGTCGTTACTCCGGTGCGGACGCGGAGCACAGACACGGGCCGGTGCAGCTATTGATGAAGTTTATGTAGTGGCCAAAGGGGAAGGACAATTATGCCTTTTCTTGACACGCCCCTTTACGCACACACGCACCCACACACACGCACACCTCCGGTCCACCTGTCTAAGGGTTTAAAGCTAATCTTGTCTAATGTTGCTGCATTAGGTCAGCCCTCTTATGACTTAATGCTTTCAGGAAGATATTCGATAATTAGTTTATACCTATGCAACAATGTCTTTTTCTATATTAAAATGACAATAAAGGATTTTTAGCACATTATTATCATGTTTTCATGAGGAACATCTTCTGATTATACAAACTATATAACATTTTTCCGACCATGTTATAAAAATAGTCTATAGTTGACCTTTTACAGAGGAAAAAACAATAGCTACAAATGGGTTAGGGTTAGTAACGCATGTTGGGCTTTAGGAAATGTTTCACTATTTTCTGATATTTAGATTTAGACCATGTTTTCACTGTATATGTTCAGTGCACATAAAGGGTCGCTTGACTTATTTTACTACGAACACAATTGTATGTCACAATTTAACAATATCGTGTGACGGGTGAAAGGTCTCAATATTTGAAAATCGGTGATAAATTGTGCCGAAAGTGCGTAACTGAATTTTCGCGGGCACGTTTGCGTCGAATCTGTCGATGAGGAAACAATACTGTGCCGAGAGACGTCACTCATTAGAAAGCTACAATGGCAGCCACCAACCCCTCCAAAGAGCAGAAATACGACAGACAGCTCAGGTACATTCAAACTAAATTGGACATTTTGCAGAAAAACTGCGTAAATATGTTCAGCTAAATGTCCTGTGCATTTGTTCTGAGCGGTCGCAGCAGAAACAGTGGAGAGACAGGACTGCTAACGTTAGCGAGCGTTAGCTTGCTGTGTGCCTTATAGTTATTACAGCATCGGCGAGCTATCACATTAACATTAGCTATACGGGTCTGTGTTTTCATGCAATCAACGCTGCCAGCTTGTCTTCACCCTGCCTTCACCTTGGCGTCATTTACTCACCGCTTTTGATGATAACACGAGTGTAACAATACACGACAGTCGAAGCTAAGGCATTCTTGCAAAGTGCTTTGTTGTGGTTTTAGGATGAATTGTATACAACACCATTTTCCTGTTGTGTGCTTTCAGACTGTGGGGTGACCATGGTCAAGAAGCACTGGAGAATGCACATGTTTGCCTCATCAACGCCACAGCTACTGGAACAGAGATCCTGAAGAACCTCGTACTTCCAGGTAAGCAGATGTGGCTCTGGGTTGGTGCTGATGCTGAAGTAACGTTAGGTGCTGATGAAAGCTTCTGATTAAGTGAATTCATCTCTTTGTCAGGCATTGGAGCCTTTACCATAGTTGATGGACACACAGTGTCAGGGGAAGATGTTGGAAACAAGTAAGACAGCAGTTTTGTTGACAGTTGATCTAAGCATACAATGTGTGTTAGTTTTATTATGTGTTATTATATATTATATATTATTATTCATGGCTGACCTGTTTATCCTGTCTTGCAGTTTTTTCCTAAGCAACAACAACATTGGGAAGGTATGTTTTCACAAAATAAATGCATTTATGTTACAATTTCCTATTTTCTTTTTTTCCACCTGCGTCTGCATGACTCCTCCTCGGTTATTCATAGTCACTGTTACTTTTCTTGTTGAAGGAAGAAAAGCATTTGTATATTTGTATATATTTGAGTCCTGACCTTAGTTTTTATGTTGCAGAACAGAGCACAGGCTGCCACTGAGCTGCTACAAGAATTGAACAGCGATGTCTCTGGAAACTATGTCGAGGAGGTTAGTCTCATCGAGTTTTCACACGGTGCCACAGATGTTTTCACAGCGGTAATAATGTTCAACAGTATTTACATCACATTAAAACACGTTAAAAGATTGGAAAATGCTCTACAAGGTTAAAAGACAAATGTTAAGTTTCTCACGTTTCTTTAAATAAAAGCAGATCTATGAATCCACATATTGCTGTGTAAATATATAGATGTATAAGGTATCAGTTGGTATTATCACTCTGATAGTGACACAGATCCTGTTTGTCTTTCCTGTTACTCCATCAGAGTCCAGATAAGCTTCTCGACAACGATCCAGAGTTTTTCCACAGGTTTACCGTAGTCATCGGTGTCCACTTGCCAGAAAGGTATGACATATAGTTCATGTTTGCTTTCACATATTATTGTAACAAAATAGTCAGTTATATTGGACCCTATAGTATGCTGAACTAGGATTTTCAGTATCATTTTAATAGAAATATCCAAATGTTGTGCAGTCCTTCCTGAATGGAGCATTTAGCACTCCGGCTGGGCTTTATTTTAAAAATACAATGAAGTGACATAAAATGAAGTGTATACCTTTGTCAATTTTATAGAAATTGTTTGAATCGTTATGTAGAGACTGTTTAAACTGAATTGGCTTGATTTGTTATTTTCTCTCCAATTAACTAATTCAACAGCACGTGTTTGAGGCTAGGCTCAGTTCTGTGGAGTGCCTCTGTACCATTCCTAGTGTGTAAAACCTACGGCCTGATAGGCTACATGAGACTAGTGGTGCAGGAGCATACAGGTTAGTTCACAACGTTAACGTTTAATTGGTTGTGTATGGATATGTGTGGAATGCTTTCAGTTCACAGTGGGCCATTGGCCATGAAATGCAGTACTGTGAAGAATGTCGTAAGTCATAAATTAAATAAATAAAGCCTCTATAGTCAAGTCTTCACATGAGACGTCTGCCTGTATCCACTTTTTTGGGAATTTCACTGTAGCTCTTAGACCGTAGTTCATACGGATAATTTGATTTTAAAACTTTTATGTTATCATGTTACCGCCTCTCTCTTCAGTGATCGAATCTCACCCAGACAATGCCTTGGAGGACCTGAGGTTAGACCAGCCTTTTGCAGAGTTCAAGAACCACATTCAGTCCTACGACCTTGACAGCATGGTGAAGAAGGTGTGTACTTTGGTTTCAGCACATTTGTGTCGTGCACATTAGGATGTTTAAACTATGCCTGGTTCACAAAAATGACAGTATTCCTTTCCATTCTTTATTTAATCTGTAGGATCACAGTCACACACCATGGATCATCGTTGTTGCTAAATACCTGGCGAAATGGCTCAGTGAGGTACACTACATTTTCTGTGGCCTCCTTTGTGCCAACATGTCTCTCAAATACTCCATCACTCATATTCATTCTGCAGTGTCTTTGTTAGTGTTGCCATACAATATAATGTCCCTCTACTTTTGTCAATGTAGCACAACTGTCAGCCACCGAAAAATTACAAAGAGAAAGAGGCCTTCAGACAGTTTATTCGGGAAGGTAACTGTGAATCTTTGGATTGTAGTTTCCTATAAGTTTAGTGACTTTGCTGTGTAACTCAAATATATCTGTGATTGACTTTCTCTTTTTGTGTTCCTTTTTTTTTTAGGGATCCTGAAGAATGAGAATGGTGTCCCAGAGGATGAAGAAAACTTTGAGGAAGCTATTAAGAATGTCAATACTGCTTTAAACCCAACCAAGGTGCCAAATCGTAAATACTCTGAGATGTATCTTACATTTTAAACCACTAATCCCTGTTTTCTATAGCATTACACATGTTAAGTCTAGTGATGTAATGCCTGCTGGTAATGTCTTTTATTTCTCCAGGTTCCTAATTCTGTTGAAGACCTCTTCAATAGTGAGCAGTGTAACAACATCACGTCACAGGTTTGGACTTTCTTCCTCAATCATTCTATTAAAAATACATCTAAAGTTACAGCATAGTTTTTAACTGAGGAATGTATTGTTGGTGCATGTTTTCTAGTCCTTGTCCTTCTGGGTGATGCTGCGAGCTGTGAAGGATTTTGTTCACAAGGAAGGCAATGGAAGCTTACCTGTACGAGGAACCATCCCAGATATGATTGCAGATTCTCAGAAGTTCATCAACCTTCAAAATGTGTAAGTGTGGAATATATGGGTTAGCTAGCTGCTATCTTGTCCAACAGTGTAGGTCTGGATCTATAGCTCTCTTTCTAATAGCGCATGATTTTATTATGTGGGATTTTTATTATGTGGGTGTTTTGCCGTTCATTTTTGTGTTTTTATTTCAGTTACAGGGAAAAGGCCATGCAGGATGCAGCTGCTGTTTCTAAGCATGTAGAATGTCTATTGCAGTCTGTTGGAAAGGTATGTTGGAAATCATTGAACTTACTGAAAAAGAGGTTAGTTTGAAAACATCTTGACTGTTTTTAAATTTAGGACACAAATACATTCCTAGATTCTATAACTGCAACTAGACAAGCTAAACTAACTTGGGAAGACAAATTTGTGATTAACTGTGAAGACCTACAACAAAGCTGGCTGTTATTTCAGTTGGAAATCACTTTTTCCATGTTTGCATTTGACTAAAAATTGATTTTCACTGACATTACTTTTCTTTTCCACTAGCCACCAGAGAGCATCTCTGAAAAGGACATCAGACTGTTCTGTAAGTAACCTATTCTGTAATTAATAACCCATACTATATATTATGCATTTTACTATAAAATGCATGCCTTTAAAACACAGCCTGCTGGTTTCATTATGTCACATTTATAAAATTCTATTTATGTAATGCCTGAAAATATGTTAAAAGGTCACTACTTCGAATAATGTAGCCTTTCACTAATCTGCCTGATCTTCTTATTCATGGTAATCAGTGTATTTACCCGTGGAAACATACCCACTGGGGATCTTTTTTGACATGAATGTATGTACAGATGTTGGTACAATGAATCAATTCAAACTACCTTTTGCCATATATTCATCAGTTGTATTTTGTTCTAATTTACCACGCTAATGTGCTGCCTTTCTGAGTTCAAAGGTTTTCATTTCTCTGCGCACGGCTGCCTAAGATTTGTAATGCTGTATAAAATTTCCGTCTGCATACAAGTGTAGTCTAAACTGCTCTATTGCTGCACCGCATAAAATTTTATTGCTAACTGTAGGCATTT